GCTCTGCATGCAGGGCCAGCTCCACGTGCCAGGAAGGCTCGGTATCGCAGGCTGGCTCTATGCTCATTCTGCCGACACAACGGGGAGGCCCCAATGGTGTACCTGAGTCACAGACTGCGGGACGCCCAGGGCCGCCTGCAGTGCCCGGTGCTGCGCAGCTACGTCTGCCCCCAGTGCGGGGCCACGCAGGACCAGGCCCACACGCGCCGCTTCTGCCCCCTCACGCCGTACAGCTACATCCCCGTCTACTGCAGCCCGGCGTGTGCCAGGAGGAGGCAGAGGAACACCAACGTGTAGCTGAGGGATGGCAGACCCCATGTCTCTATACAGGTACTGGACGGTTTGTGGATCCAAGCCTGGATTTAGCCAGGAACAGGATTCCTATGAGAGAATCTCATCCAGGAATGAGAGCTAATGGAGGGAGCGGGCACTGGGACATGGGACATAAGGAAGGGCATGTGCTTGGAGCCTGGATTTATCCAGGATTTGGCACTAATCACAGTGTGGATGCTGGTGCTTCTTGGTGCTCCCACTTCCCCCGGCTTCTCTTCCAGGGATTCCCTTGGAAGATGAGACCATGGCTCGGCGCTTCCCACYGGGACCAGTCTCCCCAGTTTGTGTGACTTTGTGCCGCCTCCCGACACCATGGGACCCTGCAAGAGTCACTCTGGCAGGATTTGGGCACTGCCAGCGGGGCCAGTTCTGTTTTGTGTTGGGTTTGAGTTCTGAGTTCTGAGTTCTGGTTAATCCCAAACTGGGAAGGGCCTGGTGCTCCTGGTGCCAGAGCCATTACCGGATGTTCTGGGTTGGATTGTTGAGTTTTGGTTAAWCCCAGGCCATGAAGAGACTGGGAGGGGACCGGTGCTCCAGGTGTTGGAGCATTTATCTGACTACTGGAGTTGTTACTGAGYGTTTTGGGTAGATTTGGTGGGATTTGCTTACCCATGACAGCGGGAAAAGCTTGGCGCTCAGTGCTGTTCTCCAGTTGGAGAGTGGTTTATTCCTGTTGTTTGCATCAATAAATTGCATCAATTGTTCTTGATGTTGCTTGCATCAATTATTCTTGATGTCGCTAGCCCTCTTTCCAGCGGCTCCCGTTGGACAGTGGCCKCCGGCCACGCCGTGCCTTTGGCCTCCAAAGCAGCTCCAGCCCCCGGCGGGCACCCATGGCCAGGCGGCTGTGAGGGGACACGGGCGTCACCCAGGGGCACTGGGACTTCCGATCCCACGGAAATCCATATGGATTTGGGACTTACTTGAGGTCTGAGAGTTCCCGGATCAGCCCACAGATGACRTCACTCGCGTCTGCCAGCTCTGTGGCCCTGGAGCTGCTGGGAGAAGAAAAATCAGAACTTTCCCGTTCCCCAAATTAGAAATTTTGGTCAAAATCAGGGTTTTATTCATGCAGGAGGGTCTGGATGCACGCACCTTTCCCGTGTCTGTGCTGGGCTGTTCCGCATGGATGCAGTGTGGATCTGACCTGTGATTTCCCCAGGCTGCTGCCTGGCTGCATCCAGGAATGGCTGCGGGGAAAGAAGGGAGCTGGAGCCAGAGCCCAGGGGGATGGCGAGGGTCCTGGCTGAGRTGGGGAGGGGTTTCTGGGTCCCAGTTTAGGGTAGGGAGGAGTTCTGAATGCACGTTTGGGTGGGGAGAGATCCCAGTTTGGGGAACGGAGCAGGTCCCTGGATCCCAATTTGGGTGGGAGTGGCCTTTGAATCACTGGAGGGAAGTCCCTGGGTCCCAGTTTGGATGGGGAGAGGTCACCCCAGTTGTACCTGCTCTGTTGGGAACTCTGGGCTGGTTCCTTCCCAATGGTCCTGAGGCTCGGTGCTGGTGGCTGCTGGATCCAGTCCTGGTGTCACCGTACTGGAATTCCCACCCTCAGCATTCCCACTCTCGGAATTCCTGCTCTCCATGTCCCCATCCCCACTCTGGGGCTCTCTGGGACAATCCAGGGACCCCATGTCCATGCTGAGGGTGACACATCCGTCTTCCAGGGCACCTTCATCCCCCTCTCCTGCCACATCCAGCACCCCAGAACTCTCTGCAGGGCCCATGTCCTTAGGGCTGGATCTGTGTGCTCCAGAATTCCCTTCTTTTGGTGAGTCCAGCTGATTCTTTTCTATCCCATCCCAAATTCCCAGCTCCAGCTGCTCCTCTCTTGCCCCATCTGCCTCTGAAATTCCTGGTTTCACTGCCTCTGGATGCTCCTCTCCTGCTCTATCCAAAACTCTGTGTGTTTGTGTTTGCAGCTGCTCCTGTGCTGCCCCATCCACCTCTGAAATTCCCAATTTTGGTGACTCCAGCTGACCCACTCCTGTTCCATCCAAAATTCCCAGTTTCAGTGACTCCAACTGCTCTTCTCCTGCCCTATCTGCCTCTGGATTTCTCAG